AAGCATATTTCAGGAACTTCATGTCAAGTTCTTTGGGACCAAAAAAATTACCACTAGAGCAGAGGAAAATCAAAGGCATGGTCTATCTGCTTCATGCTGCTCCCACAAACTGGCCTCCCTGGTGGTTCAGTATTCCTTTAGCATACAGAAATATTCAGATGGCATTTTGCCAGCTGTGCTGGCTCATGATAATTCCATATCCAGTGATGTTGCAGGCTTGTAGGACAGCTGAAGGGCTAGTCAGGACTCTATCACATTCTAGTGACATGATATAATGCTAGAAGACACTAGTTACTCTATCTTAAGAGAAATTACTCAAGGCTTCTCAGTAATGTATTGAGATTTCTTGAACAGTGGGTGAAGGAGTCACAGTTGAGCCAGACCAGGCTCAAGAGAGGTAAAAAAGGCAGGTACCCAGAGACAGAAGGGAGGGGCAGGTAAAGAAGAGAGCTCTGGAAAAGATGTTCAGAACTGTCAGCTTGCTGCTACTTCTGCCCATCAGGCAGCAATAGTGAGGGCTACTGCTGACACAAGAGGTCATGCTACACCACAGCAGTGACATCTAAGCCCCAGCTCTTCATTCAGTGCCCCTTCAAAGTGCTCTTGCAACCTCATGTAGCTCTGAAGCTGTCACCACCTATGCAATGGTAATGCCACCAACAAAGGGGTATAAATATCACCTTTTTTTCCTTTCCTAAAAGTGCTTAAACACACTCACTTGCAAAAAAGTCTTGCAGATCCTTCTTCATGATGCCTTTCCTCATGGTTCTAAAACTATAAGGAATTCCCTTTGACTGAGTATAACCTATTTAGATGTGATTTTAAATAGCTCTCATATACCCCTCTATTCTTTGAAAAAAAGTGTTAGACCTAATTTCAAAGCTTTGAAATACTGGCAGCTGAGAACTGCTGGAGTTTAAAAAGTGATGGAAAAAAATCCAGAGATCTGAATATGCTGCTATATCTGTGATCTCAGCTTCAGTTGGTGCAACCACAACATAGCCTTATATTCATGTCAGTCTTTGACTCCTGCAATTACCAGTCTTAATGTTGGAAGCATGTATGAGGTAAGATAGCTGGGCCCAACTTAGTCATCTAAGTACAGGAGTCTGTAGTGTCATCTCCCAGAGATGTAAAAAATACTAAAATATGTTTAAATATGAGAGAAATGGAAATGCAATTGTGTGCAGAAACATCCAATATCTAGATGCCTCAAGAAAAAATAAAACACATTTTTACTCCTTTACAAAAAAAATATTAAAATTTAGCAATAAATTTATAACACTTAAATGAAAGCATGAATTTTCTTTAGCATAGGTTTTAAAGCATTTAGTTTATTTTAAAAATACATACAGAATAATGCCATGAAAATATTAAATATGCACTTCGTAAAATTTGTGGTACATGAGGCAAGAAGTCTTGCTGTTAATTTTTATTTTTTATCTCAGATGTATCAGGGCATACATATTTTACATTGGTATCATTCAGGTTTTGATAAGCTGTCACTATAAGAACAGTTCAGGTATTGAGCTCTTTAAAAGTTCAGAAGACTGCAAGTCTAGAAGTATATTGTGTTATGTCACATAGATGGAATTTTGGACAGAATAATACCATGAAAACAGGTATAAAAATGTGGAGGCCTCACTAAGCTTTTAAAGTAGCACCTGGCCAAGATAAAAAGAGAAAAATTTGTCCCAAAGGTAAACATTATTCACCAATAAAAGGAAATAGCCTGAAGCCAGGAACTTGCTACTAAACATGCAATAGTTTAATAGTTACTTAATTGAGAAAATATTTGCCAGCTATGTTTTGAGGTAGGAAGTAGCAGAGAAAATGAAAGAATTACAATGCTTTGCTTATGAGAGGAATACAATCCCAACCATAAATAATGTGCTTTTTCTTGCTAAAATTAGAATTTTTTCTCAGTAAGATTTAGGGGATATGGGAGATTTATTATACCTTTATTTCAGTTAAACACCATACGCTTTGTGTTCCTAAATGAGAAGATATAACCTTTTCATTCCTTGCCTTAATCAAAATCTGAATATGACAGTCTAAGCACAGAAAAACCAAAGTGGATGGAGAGAAATAAACATAAATTCTTCCCAGCCCTAAAAGAAGATTCTTTCTTAGCTGAAATTGTGGCATAAATAGCTGTAGCTGAGTTAGTTTCAGCTTAGGTAAAGATAAGCAGCCATACAATATGTAAAGTTGCATTCAGTCATCCTAGTTCACCCATTTTTGGACTAATTACCGGCAAATATGGAAAATAGAAAATGGGGTTAGAACCATACCAAATGGCTTCAGCATCCAGCTGCATTGTCCTACCAGTCTCTCTCATATATCTAAACTGGAGCCAAAGCTGCATTCTTTCCCTACAATCTCCTCAGCTGCCTTGCCTGTGCCTGTGATAAGTGGGCTGAGCTGGCTGGACACTGAAGATGGAAAAGAGGACAGCAGTTAGCACTGGGTTCTCTTTGTGTGCCTGTTGGTGGAAAATTGAGTCCACTGTAAAAGAAAAAAGGTATTTCTGTGAAAAAAGCTACTTGTTTAATATGTTAATTTGGAATGCAAAGTTGTCTGAGGATTTTTGAAGAACTAAGTGACAAGCTGCAATCACTGGTAAAAGAGATAGCCTTCAGGACCCTTAGCCACCCAGCTTAGATTTTGAAGGCATCATTCTATGTGTCAGTCATTGTTCCCTATTACAGTCTTCAAAAGGAGATGTGTGACAAAGACAAATCTGCAGAAACTGAAACTGGCTTTCAGACTGGCCTACCTATTTTAACCACCTGATGATGGACAGTTTCACCAGGAACTGAAATCTCAATTGGCCAAGTTCATGGGACAGTAAATATCTTTTTAGTTCAGTAGTTAAAAGTAAGCGCTCATTATGAAGAGATCCTTTTAGGTTTGAAAGGGATCCTACAGCCATCAACTGCTAAGATGATGTTGACAACATGATGCCCATTACAAAACGCTGCCTAGTCACACATGAGAGATGTGCAAAAGTATGAGGGTAAAGTGTGTATCATAGTGATAGGAGAGGGTGAACAGAACTGGGCTGGTGTGTAGGGAAAAGTGTTGGGGCAAGAGCAGCCCTCTTCCATTCATGTCCCAGTTCCAGATGAGGATTTTCGTGTGTAAACGGCTGCGGGTGCTAAACCTAGAATGCATAAGCACAGCCTCGGGGGGAGGAGAGGAGCGGCTGGGTGCGGAGGAGGGGGAGCCAGGGTTGCTGGTTTTTGCCTTTCTCTTTTCTGCTGGCCTCTCCTGACATATGACACCGATTCTCACATGAGCTTGCCGCCTGGCTTCTCCCTCCTTTTCTCACAGAGCACCCATCACTGGGAGGGCAACGCAGCTGCCAGCGAGCCCAGAGCAGCATCCTGAATCTCTGCGCAGTCTTTTGCTTAGGAGCATTGAGGTAAGGACCCCCTGCCCTCTATGTCTGTGTCTGTGGGCACAGGAATTCCCACCCTAAACTCTCAGAAGCCAAGAAACCCTGCAGCCAAAGCTGTGTTAGGGAATTTTATGAGTGAGATGACTTATGCTCAATCATGGGAGGTTCATTCTTGCCACCAAAGTGCCCTTTGGGTATGCACTGTAGCTATCTGGGGAGAGTTTGCAGGGAGATGGCAATGAAACCGAAGTGCAGCAGGAATAATTTATCAGAACATGAGCAGCCTGTGAGCTACTCTGGGTGTGCATGTGAGTCCAGGACAGACAGTTATAATCCCTTCTGAAGGAAAAAGTCCTATCAGTAGGTAGCTGCTGAACCTAGGCTCAACGCTCTAGGCCCACATCCCCAGGATTGCACAGCAGGTACATTCATGTCTTGACAGCACCCTCAGGCCATGACTGCTCTCCATAGGACTGTTGAGGCCAGGGGCGTGGGATAGTGGGGAGAAATGTGCACAGCCGTCAGTTCTTAAAGAGAGCAGGGAAAAACTGAGATTTGCCTCAGTACCTCTTTCTTTCTATCTCAGCCATGGAAAAAGCAGGTTTAGAAAAAAAATACTTCTGTGAATTACACTTGGGGTTCACAGTGCATCCACATGGGTACAGCCATGGCTTGTACAAATGATACCAGGCAATGAGAGAGAACTGAAATGTGTTTGTACAAGTCTGTCTCCAGTGTGTCATGTGCTAGAACGATATGCACTATGCTTGAAAATCATTCTAGTATGTCTCCATTTATTATTTATAGTGTGTTTTTGAAAATATTTTACCCAAAGAGAGTTAAATCAGCTTGTTTTTAGGGATGACAATTTAAAATACAAGAATGCGAAAGCAACTGCTAAGCAACAAGACTGCTAATGCAAGACTGCTAAGTTGAAGAAAAATTGAATCATGTTTTATCATTCTTGTACTGCTGTGCTTCTGTATTTGTGTTTTTTAGGAAACAAACAAATTATGTTCCTCAGATTCTGGTGGCTTTTATGGATAATTGAACATCATGAGTTTTTAGCAGAAAATCTCAGGGAAGAGAAGATATATGGATTGAGAAGATCAAAACCTAAACGCATTCTGTCAAATATTGTAGAAAAATATCCCAGCTCAAATGATCAAGGTGAATATTGTAATTTTAAAATTGGTGTGATTTTAAACATCCTGATTTATTTGGATTTTGGACTACAGGTTAACTTTCCTTTTAGATGCTTATAATCAGCCAGTATAATCAGTACTAACACTCACTCATTCAAAATCCAGCTCTGTCAAATCACATTCCAGTGTCTTGTTCAGTAAGCCTCATTTTCTTATACATTACTTCCACCTATGTTGGTAGGATATACAGTGAATTACCAGACAAGACGACAGAATGAAATTTAAAAAACACTACAATATTTCTCATTTCATACTACAAGATATCAACACACCTTCAGTTTCTTACTCAGCTCTATGTTCTTGAAAGGTTCACACTGGTGAACACAGATGTCATCAAAACTTTCCATAATCCCAAACCCACTCTTCAATCCTAAAATACATGTAAGGGTAGAATGAGATTTAGAATGAAGTCACTCCACTCACCTACATATCTGTTTATTCTAGATGAAGATTGCATTCTGGAAATTGCTTTTTTACTGGACAGCTCTGAAAATGCTAAGGACTATAATCATGAACAGCAGAAAAAATTTGTACTGCAAACAGTGGACAGAATGCAAAGTCTGCAGCTTAGTTCTGGACGTACCCTGCGCTGGAGGATGGCCTTACTTCAATACAGCAGCACTGTTTTTATAGAGCAAACTTTCCATGACTGGAAAGGTCCTGAAGCATTCAAATCCCACATTGCTCCCATCACCCACATAGGTCATGGCACCTACACAACTTATGCTATAACTAATCTTACCCAGCTCTACATGTCTGAAGGGACTTTGGGTAGTGTAAAAGTAGCCGTGCTTTTCACTGATGGAGTGGATCATCCAAGAAACCCAGATATTTTTGCAGCTACAGCTGATGCTAAACACCAAGGAATTGTATTTTTCACAATGGGAATGACCAAAGTGGCTGAGGAGGATAGCAATGCTGCCAAGCTCCGGCTCCTGGCCAGTGTCCCAGCATCCAGGTTCGTTTTCAACCTCCAGGAGAAAGAAACTGTGGAGAAGGTTCTCAAAGAAATGGTAGGTATGAGAAAGAATTTGAAATAGCGTTAGGAACGTATGTAAATCTTATTTCCAATATTTGGAAAATACATTTCTTCAGTATACCATTGAAGAAACTTGTACATTTTACATGTTAAACCAGCCCAATTTTTAATGAGATCACTGTGCCAAAATACAGATTTCCTTTCTCTTCCCACCATTCAGATCTTGTCATCCAAAATATTTGAGACTGCAAACTGAATTAGATTTAAACATTATTTTTATCTTTGTTTTTCCTCTTAAGAAAGGCATTTCAAATCTCTTGTCTTAAAAAAATAATTTTTTTTTAGATCCTAGTGCTTTGTTCTGTAACAAATAGGAAAGTGAAGTTGCCTTTTGTATCAGAAAAAGATGCAGCTCTTGTAGAAGTGAAAATAAATTTGCAGACCATGGAGATAGCTCAATTCAGATGAAATTTGAACTTGATGATAGATATCTTTAAATTTCCATGGAAAATCTACCCTATAATAAAGAGGAGATATGTAAATTGAGCTTGAAGCTTTGTTTTGATACCTTTCTTCTCTATTTAAACTTAATATATAAAAAACATTCCCTGCCAAGTATGGAGAATAGAGCCATATTCTAGCCTATAACCCTGGTGAACAAGCTGTGGATGGAGTCCATAGCTGAGCATGTATAGAGATATAAACTAGAATTATAAATAACAACCAGGGGACTTCTGCAATGAAATGAACACCAAAGTGATCTCACACAGGCCCTAGAACATGCCCGTGTTGGCTTTCCTGTCTTCCTGTCCTTCACTTAGACAGCCTTCTATTTTGCATTGGTTCCCTGAAGAGCACACTTCCCATCTTCTCTGGTACTATTCCTGCTTCCTGTGTCACAGTAATCACCTCTCAAGTAACAAAACACACTTTATTTTACCTCTTCTAAACAGGCAATCATCCTCAGGTGCCTTCTTTCAATAACTTGGCTGCTGTTTGGTTTAAATAATATTCTAGAGATTGCTAGAATGTAAGTTTAATTGATGTTAATCAATATATTTATTGTATAATTTAATTACCTAGTTGCTGAATCTATTTATTTTTACATCTTGCAGTCTCCTTTCTGTAGAGATGGATTAAGATTTAAGTTTATAATGTTGTTTTCAATATCTGTCTTTTACAGAAAGACCTGTCTGAGGAAGAGGTAAATATTTTAAGTATTTTTTTTCCTGTGTAGACTTACTGCTTTATATAGATATTTACAAATAAATGGAAGCATAATTCAGGAAAACTGATAGCTCAGGAAGGTGGTTAAATGCTGAGTCTAATGGGATTGTCTTCAAGTTAAACATGTTTTTGAATTTGCAGGACAGAGCTTTAATTTGCTATCCTAAGGTAATTTATTAATGTATTTAGAAATTAATAAGTTAATAATTTCCTAATTACTAATGTAATTTGCTAACCTAAAGTATTTAAAAGAAAAGAAAGAAACTGTGTGTGAGTATTCAGGCTAGCAAGAATTTGCTGATACATCTTGACATGTCCTCTGACAAACTCAGTGAAAAAGAAAACATGATGCAGAGCTGAAGACAGGGCAGTTCTAACCCTTAACCCTCTTCCTAGGAAAGAGGGTTTAAAAAAGAGTAAGATCTCAAAGCTCCAGCACTGCTTTTTTTCACTTTGTTCATGCTGTGTCACCCTGACTTCTGGTTTTGATAGGTCTGGTTGGCATTTTGTGGGGAATAAAGTTAGTTTTCCTTTTAAAGATGTTAGGGCTATTTGAGGCAACAGTTATCTCAGACAAAAAGGGTTCTCCTAAGCAGCTCAAGCAAACTGCTAAATAGTATGAGTGTTCGAAAACTTTGAAAAATTCAGTTTTCACTCATTTCCACTGACATGTTAATTTTTCTCCATCAATATAGAAGTATTAAGACAGTCAATGTTAGCCTTGGAAGACATATTGTGACTAATCTGGATATTCAGATAAGAATAATTTTTGAACCCTTCACTTCTAGACATCTTTCAAGATGAGCAGAGATTTAATAAGTAACTAACCGAAAATAAAAATTACATTCTTTATCCGTCCTTCAAAAATAACTACAGTATCTGTGATAATTCTGTCATGATCTTAAAGATTCAAAAATATCTTAAAAATCACATAAATGCATATCATAATGATGTTTGACTGTGACACCTGATGGTAGATATGACAGAAGAGAAAGATTATGAAGTGTTATAATGAGTTGTATTAACTAAAAGTATATATCCATACATATTTTGTTTATAGATCTAGCTAGAACTAAACTATGAACTATCCTGCATACAATGGAATTAAGTAAAGGGATGCAAGATGCTTTTTTTACTTCATCTCCTTGGCTATCTCTACAGTTCCTAGTAATGAAAACAAAACAGACACAGCATAAACTGACCTTATGAAGAGTTTGGAGGTAAAGCCATTATCAAGATGATTGAAAATTTAGGAGTAGGAATGATGCAAAATTTTTGATGGAGTGTTGGAGGCCACATTCTGGATCAGTGGTAAACTGATAGTTAAAAGATTTCTGTAAAACATGTAAATATAATTTCTGGCAATTACAGGTGTATTTAAACTAGCCATACAGTAACTTAAAGAAAATGTCAATGTGTTTTCTATCTGTTCCATTAAAATGTGCTGATTTTTACTATTTTCATTCAAAGTGTCCCCAGGTTGACACATGTAACTGTGAGAAGGGGGAAAGAGGCCTTCCTGGTCCTGCTGTAAGTGGCTGTTACTCAAATAACTGATAGACAGTATAAGTTAAAATGTAATTCAGTGTTAAAAAAATTTAAAGAAATTATTTGAACCCAAACCTGAGACAACAGTAGTTCAAGGGTCAATACATACTCCTCCATAGTTACATTGTGTGAAGATGCCACAGCAGCAGGAAGTGCAGAGAGAGACCTGAGAACGCCATGAGACACTCCCTCTGTGTGGGAACAGATAGGATGAACACTGCGGTGTGGTGACATTTTAGCCACGGCAGTATGAAAGGCAGAAAGGAGCACCTTTCCTGTTGCAATCAGACAAGACCAGCTGGATCTAACTAGCCTCAGATAAACTATTAATATCCAAAAAACTCTTTGAAAGCAAGAGAGAGAGCAAAATACTGAAGCATTAGGAACAACTGAGACAAGAATAAAGTGGACTGGACTTCTTTCAGAATAGTTTTCAAATAGAACTCCTTAGCAAATCTAGGGGCTTGCTTCATACAAGGCTTGGTGATCTAAACTGCAGGGCTTATATTTCAAAATTATCTGATAATATCAGAATGATCTGATATTATATCCTTGACATTGAAGTAAAAGCACAATAGTACCTTATAGCCCTTGCTCAAGGTGAAGGGACAGTGTCAGAGCTTGAAAGAGAACCCTAGATTTGCCCATCCTCATCCTTTTGACCTGAATATCCTATAAAGATACAAACAGAAAGACACTCTGGGTTTGTGCAGCACAGTACAATGCACTTTAATTGAAAATGTTCCCTCTACTGTGTGCAAGTGGTAGTTTTGTTTGGATTAATATCTACTGTCTTTACTTGGAAAGTGCCGGTATTGCTTACACAGAAGCATACACCCCAAAGAGTTGAGAAGAAAACAAAACATCCACTTAGCAAGATGGGTAGTTACAAAAACAGTTGATCACCTCTTTTCTTCAGAGAAGAACTGAACAAACTAGTTTCGTTTATAACAAAGACAAAAGAGAAAAATTACTTCCTATTGAGTTGGTCCTGCTGTTCCCAGATATTCAATTTCAATGTTATAGTAAATGCAGAGATTTTGGGAAATAAATCTATAGGAAGAAAATATCTTAAGTTTGAGGAAAACAGCATATATATTGTAAAACACAATTATGCTTACCAACATATATAAGAATTGTATTTTGTTTTTTTCAGGGTAAAAAGGGTCGCACTGGGGACGATGGAGCTCCAGGCCTGAAAGGAGCAAAGGTGATTGGTTTTTCAGATTTAGGAGGAAAATCTGTCTTGTCTTTATTTCACTGTTCTTGATGTTGAATTATTCACAGGGGGACCCAGGTCTGAATGGAATCCCAGGACGAGATGGAATAGAGGTAAAAAATATTTTTTCTCCTTCTCCAGTGAGCAATGTTCCTTTAAGGCAAAATACCCCCTTTTTGTTTTTTTTTTTTATTGTTATAAGAGCAAATTACAATTCAGGTTTACCATCTAATGATTCATTAACATTAGAAGAACTGAAAACATTCTCACTGCTTAATGAAAAGGAACAATTCCTTCTTATATGTGTGATCTAGAAAATACTTCCCAATAACACATAGTGCTTCCAAAACGTTGTAATGCTCTGATATGATAATCAAAGAACATTACAGAAATTGCCACTCTGCCTGAATAATCTGGGGCTTATTTAAATTTGACAAATAAAGGACTCTGTGTATAATAGCAGTGAAAAACTTGAATGAAATATATATAGGAAGTGTAGGACCAGTCTCTTAGCACGTAATTCTGAATTCATTCACATATTAATTCCTCTACTTTATGCTTTCTTATTTATTCAGTACATCCTCTTTAATTAGTAACTTTTTCTTGTTTTCTTATTTTAGCATGTTTTTCACTAAGATGGAAATATCAACTCTACTTGATCTGCTTTTACATCACCAGAATCCCAGTCTAAAATGATACATTTATGCAATTTATTTACCCATACAACAGCATCTGTCATCACTAAAAGGCACAGTACTTCAAATCATATTGCCATATTTATCAGAGTCATCCTTTCTATTTGAAATGCTATTTTTCTGAAGAGAGTAGAATATTAAGGAAGCCAATACTCATGTTCCTACTTTTGGATTATATCTCATCACAACCTGCCTTGCTTTTTTGTTTTCCTAGGGGAAAGCTGGACATAAAGGAGAGAAGGTATGTCTTTTAGTCAGAATTGATGCCTACATCTTTGTTGGTATTTATTATATATAGTGCCATATTTCTTTTAAGTAGTAGTAAGGAACAATAACATCATCTTAGCAGCTGCTCCACAAGCTGTAATAGAAGATGCAACTGTTCCTCCATGAACTTGCCATACAATTGCTATAATATGTCCTGAATAGTATAACATTTAGGTTTTCAACTAAAGTACCTAGAGAATAAGGATGATATGCCAATATAACTCATAAATATTTATTCCTATTCCTTTCCAGGGTGAAAGAGGTGAATGTGGAATCCCAGGAATAAAAGGAGACAGAGTAAGAAGCCACAAAGTTGTTATGTTTCCAAGAAATACAGTTAAACCACAAAAAAATACAATTCCCTGAATAACAACCATGATGATAGATTTAAGGCATATATTAGTTCTAAGGTTGAGGGAAATAGACATCTTATAGTTTTGAAGTATGTAGTAAGCAAGGATACCATTTTTAGCACCTTTCTGAGCTCTTTCTACATTTTTGTATGATTCCTCTTACGGCCCAAGGCTGAGCCTGTTTAAAACAATGGTAAAACTCTAGCAGAGGCAGAAGGCTTGAAATAGTAAGCAAAGGGAATGAGACATAAAAATGAAAACTAGATTTCTAACTCCAATCTTTAAGATTTTGTGCATAATTGCTTTAACTATTTCAAATAGAGCAAATAATAGTTTCATCCTGGATTACTGGTCCTAGATAATTAACTCTGTTCATCATTATGCTGTACTTTGATTACCAGTCAATTTAAAAATATTTATTTAATAGTTTGTGGTTGCTGAGCTTCTCTGAAATTTAATTTTGATTTTAATGTAAAGATATTTAAATAAGATACCTTAGTAAAAATGTTCCTAAAAGTTTTTAACAAAATCTAAATATACAAAAATATATAATCTTTTTTCAATTATCTTTCAGGGTCCTGAAGGTCCAGTAGGCCCCAGAGGAGTAAGAGGGATACAGGTAAAAGAAAGAAAAAAGAAAGAAAGAAAAAAAAAACCAAACTAGCTATGAAAACAACTATACCTGGTTCCCTGGGATTCAAAGATCTGAAATAACATCATACTCCTACTGACATGGAATCTTTGAGTTGCTGAGTTCAAGACACTCAAAATCAATCTTCTTAAATAGCAAAATTAATACCATCTAGAAGCAATCTAGACAAATAAATCATCTTTATAAATCATTCAGTCTCAAAGACCACAGCAAACACACTTCCATAAAGACCAAAATCACTCATTTCTCTTTCAGTGTCTTAACTATTTAATTTCTTCAAGAAGTACATGGAAAATCTTTAGTCTCTTATCATCCCAATACTCTCAGACTAATGGCCAAGAAGCTTAGCCCATCATAGATGTTTCAGTACATCTTGAATGTAGATTACCTTTAATTGCATTCAAAAAAAGGGAGAGACAAATTCTCTCCCCAAATATCAGAACCAGCTCCAGCTGGGTTGAGTAGCTAAAAATATACATGCATCACAAAGAAAAGCTTCAGTTCTGATGTTTAAAACTCTTATTTCCATGCAGACTTCAGCAAATAATAGATTGTTTCTCAAGCTGCCATTTTTATGAAAGCTTGAAAAATCTCATTGAAACCACTCCTGTTTTAATAGGGTCTACAAGGACAATCTGGAGATCAAGGGCCTGAAGGCCTGCAAGGATCAAAGGCAAGAACTGTTTTATTTCTTCTCTTAATTAATGTTAAAAATTATTAATATAGCCTCACAACAATTATGGTTTTATCCTTATATTCAATACTCTTCTTGTAGTGGATACAGCTTAACTTGACACAGATAGCAAATTGTGTACTTTTTGCATGCTACATGGTTCTTAAGAAAGGTATTTATTACTTTGCTCTCTGTATAGAATTCAGGTCCAAATCACACTCCCATCTTTATTAATCAACAGTTAAAATATGGTAGAGTCACAGAGTACTACTTAGCATTGCACTTCTTCTGTTTTCAATGTAAAACTCTTTTTTCCCTAAGTGCCAAATAGGAATCCTGTTTGGCATCTCAAATCAAGCCTTTTCTTGAAACTGAATATTCTCAAGAAGAATTCTGTAGTTCAAAAGGAATATTGTCCTGAAGAAAAACTTGAAAATAAGTGTATAAGGGACATTATTTGTTATCTCTCTTGAAATCTCCTTTGCACCAACTGATCAACAGTGATACACAGAACAGCTGAGTGTCAAAACTTACATGCTATGAAACATTTTTCCTTTCCTTAAATCTCTTATCTTTGTGCATGATTAATTATTACAAGAGAATTTTGAAGCTTTGAAAGGATGAACAGATGAAGTACTGTGTAAGACAATTCCAATGGGCTGAAATTCAGGATGCACTAAAAATTAATCTACAATGTGAATTAAACTGATTTTCCTAGACACCAATTTATAAGCAAGAGTATTTTCGTTCTTTGAAAGGGTGAAAGAGGTCTTCCTGGGCCACCTGGCTTGCCTGGAGAGACTGGAATAGGACTACCAGGCCCAAAGGTATAAAAATCTCATATTCTGTATTGCCTGTATTGTAAGGATAAGGATCAGGACAACTGAGCTAATAGTCTTGCTGATTCACAAGAAAATTCAAGACCATAAATGCTGGTTTTGTGGGACTAGAAAGGTATTTTGTATGTTACCAAAACTGTTTACAAACAGTTGTGAACAAAATACATTTTCAGTATATACTTTAAAGGATTTTTTTACAGTAGTTGTTATGCCTGACATAAACTCAACCCAAGAAGAGTATGGTTAGGTAAAAACCCATTCATAGTCTTAAACAGAAATTAATCTGTGCAAAACAGGCTTGTTGGTTTAGATGACTGGCATAAAAAGAACAGAAACTCCGTGATAGAAATACTGACTTCTTGGGAAAGGCCAGTAAGTGATACATGACTGGGTGTATGAAGGGAATAATTAATCTTTTAGACTCAGCATTGTCTTCTCTCAAATGCAGAACTGATGCTGTGAAAAACTGTGAAACTCCCCAGTTCAATGCCTGCTGGGCCTTGTGTGGTGTATGACTCTGAGGACACTCAGATTTTCTCTGCTGTTCCTGTATTCTCCTACATCTAATATTTCAAGCACAAAATTCCTGATGAGTTGTTATATGCTGCACACATAAAAATACCTAAATCAAGTGTATATCTTTCTTTGAAGGGTGACACTGGCTTGACAGGAAGACCGGGCCCTGTTGGCCCACCTGGAGTTGGTGAGCCAGGATTTATGGTATGTCTGGTTTTTTATTTGGTAGGAGGAAAGCAGGACAGAAAGCAAGAATTCTCAATGCTTCCCCATAAAAATGGGGAAGATTTAGCACACATAAAAATGTGTGCTAAATTATAGCATCTCTTTTCTTCCTTCTATTTCACACTCTTATACGTATTATGTTGTCTGACTCTCATTTCCCTCAATAAACTGGAAATGTTTTCAATTTCTTAACTTATCTAATTATCATATCTCCAAAATGGGTATGAAAATATAACATCTGATGCAAAAACACACAAATATATAAATAAATCTATCCCCTGATAGATTTAGCAGTGTCAAATCCCTATGTGATAACTTTGAAGATGACTGCTTTTCAGTATCACTAGAACATTAACATCAGCATGGCTTTGAGGAGGAGACTTTCAGAATTTATAGTAGGTTTGGCTCTGAAATCCCTTCCTGCTTTTCCTTCCTTTCCTCTTCCTGGCAGTTGTAAAGTCCATCTCTTTGTAGTAAGAAGAAAAACAGCATGTCAATTTTATGGTCCTTTATTTTTAAATATCAGGCAGCACCTTTTACTGAACTATTTACAATACAGCAGACTTAAATTAATTTCTCTTTACCTGGATGAAAGATTTCTAGTGTAACCACAAGGGAAATTTTGTTCCGTTTTTTCACAAGTACCTTGTCCCTGTTAACAAGGCAAAATTTGGAATAAACATTTCATAAGAGGTGTTCCCATGAAAAAGAGAATCATCATTTGGTAGGTGAACTGACTGATTTCAAATACAGTACTGGAGAGCAGTGAGTTCTTGCTGAAGAGCCCAAGGAGAAGAGCATTACAAATAAGGCTGGTGGTAACAGTCAGTCCAAGCACACCAGTAACACTTCCAGTCTCTTCAATAACAGCACAGAGCAAAGACCCACTCTATGGGGGAAGAGGTTCCTGTGATGTGAATCTTCTCTTGCCAAAACAATACTGCTATAACAAGAGATTCTGATTTAAAAAAATATATTCTAAATATGCTTCTTTTATTTATTTTAAAGTGTATTTGCTTCAAAAGAAGTTCATTTTAATGGCTTAATTGAGTCCAAACATCTATACCTCAGGAATTATTCTAAAGCTCTGTTCAGAAGGATAAGCATATTTAGGCTATACAGAGACAAAATCTACCAGCATTCTGTGATGTGTGTGTAACCCCAAGCAATAAATCTGAGAAAAAAACTTTAAAAAACAGATGCAAGAAAACACTGTGAAGCAAGCTCAATATGCAGAGGTGTTGGACATGCATTTTTTTTATTTGCCCCTTGTGCTTCTATCATATGTTTTTTCAGAAAGAGAAGGACGTGCTATTTCTCTCTTTGCCAATTACAGTCACATCTTTCTATAGCTATGTCTCTTTCAGAATTACTCTGTGTGGGCTTTAATCTGGATCTGTAGCTCATGATTATACTGATACATTAATAAGGATTAGTAAGAATTTGTAAAATGGAAATTTAGGGAGTGAAGATTTCCAAAATGTAAGGAATAGAAATTTCATCTATATAATCTGTGATTCCATAGTAACCTGAAGGGTATTGTTACTGCTACAGGCCAAAATACTCATCATTTATTCACTGGGAATGCTGTGTTACTGTATTATTTGTAATAGATTATAACTACAGCAACATCTGAAGACATTACAGACAATGACATAGAATGCACTGCTGTTCATCTGAGTGATTAATATGTATTCTAGGTCATTTTAAACTTATGTTAACAGGGGCCTCAAGGACCACAAGGTGTTCAAGGAGAAAGAGGTCCACCAGGAGAAGGGCTTCCAGGAGCAAAGGTACAACAGTCAAAGGGTTCTAAGACCAGAGCAGCACCATTAAATGAGTGCATGCCAAAAAAAGTCCATAGAAGGCACAGGAATCTGAGAAAGTACCTTGTAAACTTAATTAAAATTTTACATCAAACAATCCAATATATTTTGATGGAATTCACTTGGTCCAAACATGACTTGTAGGCACAGCTAGCCTTTGGGGCCTGTAAGCCAATATTTAATTTACCTGATGCTTGATTTGTGGGATCTGAGCCTGGAATGAATTCAATAATTTTAAAACAGCCTCAAGCATTTGACTTTAAATAAAATACCATTAAAAGGTTCCTAGATGAAAAATTTAGCAGTTTGTTGTTGGCTTTTTTCCTTAGTCCTTATATAGGGATCTTTACTGTCACTATAAAGAGAGGCTTGTAAGCTTCTTACATACCTCAGCCACTGGCTTCTGCATTTTAGCAGAAGTCTGAATTCAGTTTATTGGAAAAGAAAGGTGCTGTTACTAATTTGCAGATCCAGTGGAAGTAATGAGAGTGGTAGTTGTACTTACATGAATGGACTTACTAGAAGATTCTTTTGCTGCCCACTGAAAACCAGTTCCTAGGCTGTTGTTGCCTTTGGTTACAATAACAAAGTGACACAAATTGTATGTGAACAAAATGAACAACTAAACAGTTTTCTCATTTTTATATAATTACCAATTCTGCTTGAGAAAACAAAAAAAATGGTTTCACAGATGCAGAGACAACTAAAAATCAGATTTTCTCTGAGAGTAGCCCTTTACTAAAAATCTTAGCATTTCTGCTCAGCACAATACTGTTGTCAGCCAGATTGAAATTTAACTGCTGATAGCAACATAATATCTTCAAACATATAGTGTGTATTTTATGATGATGAATTATATAAATTATTTAACCTCATTGTTGATGGCTTGTATCTGCTTAGTAGATCTCATGAATGAAAACTAACAAAAATACAATTTGAAGAAAATGCATTTCAAAATCACTCAATTGCCACTGAAACACCACAACTAATAACTAAAACACAGTAACAGAGCACAGTGGGAACAAGTACAGATGAATGCATAATCTAACTAAAACTATTAAGCAGTAGAGATGGATAGGCAGAATATAATAATCAAAGTGGAATTCTGTCATCATTATTGGAACTCTTCATTCTATAAAAAATGTACTACTTTTTACTGCCAAGTCTGACCTGGAGCCAAGCATGTATCAACAATGTCCATTGTATCTCTAATCCAATCTGTGGCTGCCAAGCATGTCAGTTCTTTGGTTTAAAACACATTTTAAACAGGTGATTTGTTAATCTCATCAAATTTTACAGTTGCTTTCTCCACGACTTCTTACTACAAGTTCACAATTTAGTAAAAAAGATAATGAAGGCAGATGTTCTAAAGCATCAGGAGTAAAGAATGTTATTTTAAACACAAATCCTCATAATGAATTTCTGTCAAAATTAAAATTATGGAATTGGTTACAAAGGATAGAAAAAATCTGTCTGGGGCATAATTTTATTTCTTGGGTGATTTTTTTACAATTTATACAAGCTAACATCTGCCTCTATATGTTTTCTTAAGAGAAGTACAGGAAAGCACAATATTTGTACCTAGTAACTGGCACTTTCCCCAAGACCACTGTTTTGTAAATGAACATTTAGAAAGACAATGACATTTACAAATAGGCTTCTATAACAATACAGTCAACCTAGTCTTCATTCTGGCAAATGCTTAGTGGGAGCCAGATCCTCATTACCCCACTTCAATGAGATTAACCCATGGAAAAAAAAAGTAGAATTCAGTTTTTAGTTAACCTCAATACTCAGCCCTGCAGGCATTTAAACCAGTTGTGGTTTTGCCATTGATTTGAGAGGAAGCAGAACCGGACCTTAAATAATTGAGGTAGGCAGAAAGATAAAGAAGAAGCTTGTTCAGCTCTTTCCTCAGCAATTTCAAATTGCAGGGCAAACTCGTTTGAAAAGATAATCACTTTGGTATCCTGGAACACAGATCCAGGAGCAGTTTTCTGGTTCTTTTCATTTTGGTTTTCATTATGACAGAGCAAACACTGTCTCTAGTTACTTCAGTGAGAACAGTGTGTCTCCACAGTTAACTTATCTTTTCATGCAGGGAGATCGTGGCTTTGATGGACCAAAAGGCCCTCGTGGACTTCCAGGCATCAGCATAAAAGGTGAAAAGGTGAGCAATAAATACACCAGGGGATTAATGGAGTGCAAATAAATCTAATACAGGGAATACAGGGTTGATACTACAGAAGACACAATGAGGAAAGGAACCCATAAAAGACACTGAAGAATGTGGTATTTAGTTGAGATTTATGCCCAATAAATTCTCCCAACCCATTTTAACATCTCCTCATATTAAAATAGAGGATGTTAGAAAAAGCATCTGATTCTGTGTAAAAGTTAAGGTTTAAAAAGGGAAAAGGAGACTAGAGGTTGTTTGCAACTGACCCAGTGGAGAACAAATGCATGTGTGAAAGATAAAAGGTCAGATCCACAGCTTTACTGACTTTTTCAAAAGAAGTCAAAGTGTACTGACTAGCATGGGAGGTGTCTCAGATTGTTTCTGTATCTTTGCACAACTAAGCAACTATACTTTGTTTGCCAGGGTGACTGTGGTCCTCCTGGTTTACCAGGATCAGTTGGATTACCTGGAATTGGAATTCAAGGAGAAAAGGTAAAATTTCCCCCTCACCCCACACTTTAGTGTATAGTAACAGATATTATTTTATTTTTTTAATAATTACTTAACTACTCTTCCCAGGGAGTGGAGGGCCCAAAAGGACCACCTGGCTCTAGAGGGCTACCAGGACAGGGGATACCTGGACCAAAGGTCAGGGAATTTTCTGAAGTAAAAGCTACTGTGCTGTTTGTATCATTATGTTTCATGATCAAGAAATGGTGTTTGGAATGGAAATTTAAAGTAATTTCCTGAAAGATGTGACAAAGTTCTGGATGACTGATGGCTATTAAAGCATGGTATAAAGGAACTAGAGGTGAAAGTGCGTCAAGCATCCATGACAAGTAAAGAACTTTGCAGAATCAAGTATCACCTCTTACACTTGAAGTGATTGTGCAGGGATATGATCACCACTGCTAAAAAATAAAAAAAAAATTTAAAAATTGTCTTTTAATGTCATATATGCTCCTGAAATATCAGATCTTTGCCAGGAAAGATTCCAGGGGGCATACAAGTGTAGATTTACAGCATTAATAATTTCCACCAACAGCTCTTTGGCGACAGCTCAAAATATGTGGCAAATTCCCAATCTTTGTGACCACAGGTTTAACACTTCTTACTATAAAAAATATTACACTAATCCTTCTTAAAATGTAAGCAATTAAACATATGCTTTTATATTTTTCATAATAATGCTGTTAAAAACTAATATCTGCTTAAGGGTGAACAAGGCTTGCCAGGAGAGACTGGAGTGCCAGGAGAAAGAGGTATTGGAGAACCTGGTTCTAAGGTACATTGTTAATAGAGGAATTATTTAATCTATTTATTCATTTTGATTATAAATTTATAATTCCTGAGTATACTTTCCGAAGCCACATAAAAGCAGGTTTAGAAATAAATTTTAAGTTCTTAATTTTTTGAATGTTTAACACAGACTTCCAATAACCTCCAAATACGGCAGCATTTTAAATACTCCTGTTCTGTAAAAAATAGTAAGACTTATGGTGACTGGAAACTTCCACCTGCCTGGCTCATGCTCAAGTCACTGTTGCACACAGCTCACCTACAGCTCTGTGCATAAAAGCATCCAGAATATTAAACAGCTGCCAGAATTCACAGCCCCAACTGTAAGCTATGCTGTAGCATACACCAGAGAGGTGAAAAAATGCTCTGAACAGTGGTTATTGTGCTGCTCCTTCCCTTTCCACACAGAATATGGTGGAAACAGAGCAGCTACATCCTCACACCTTCATATGAGAAACAAGCTGTGCTGGTGGACAGAGAGAACAGTTGAGTTGCTAAGAGGAGAGGAAGCTATAACCAGATTATTTTACTGCTGAAGTGCCCAAAATAGTCCCACTCAAGTGCCCAAGATCAGTCCCTATGTCATTAACAGCCAAATTAACACAGAATAGGGGAATTGATGATTTGCTCTTGTTTGTTAGGGATTTGTGACAGGGGCTGGAAAAGAAATTATTCAATTTCTCTCTTTAATTTCACAAAATACAGTAATGCCAATTGAACCCATTTGACCCCAGATTAATCTAAAACCAGGTCAGGCTCCTGAATCTTACATAATAGGGCCATGATAATTCCACTTGTATTGTTTTGCATTGATATTAATCAGCAAGATGTCAATCATTGTGTCATAGTAAATTCTATCTGATATTTCCTTCAAATGCTGCCACTTAATGAAATGGTTACAATAATTTTTAAGAATAAGCTGAATAATTAATAGCTAATAATTTTAATTGCATATATAAAATGCACAGTTCAAAACAATCAGATTGTAGGATAGTACCAAGTAATAAGAACTGTCTTTATAAAAAAAGACAAGACTTCATATGCATAAATGTTTTCTACAAATGTATTTAAAGTTTAGGAAAAAAATTAAATAGATTTCCTTAATTCAAAGAAGGAATAGTACTGAGTCTTCATTTAATAGAACTTACTTTTTACTGATGTAAGGGTGATCCAGGGCCTTCAGGACTGGCAGGTCTGCCTGGTCTTCCAGGAGAAGATGGAGCCCCTGGACAAAAGGTTGGTTCATCTCTCTCTGTAATCTGTCTGCTTTACCCCAAGCATTGCTACTGTTCTCCTGTGCTGACACCCAAACCTAGAAGAGAAAGTGTTCATGGACAAGGGGAAAAGTACCACATTTTTTTCAGAAAAAAAAAAAAATCTCTCTTGAATATACTTTTTTAGGGAAAACTTTACTGTTTCTAATTTTTTGGGGTGGGGCATTGCCTTATCTTGTTTACTCTTGTGTGCTTTGTGTAATTCATTAAATGTCCTGCAGCTCAGGAAGGAAACCACTAAAATGGCTATGGTCAAGCTTTCATGGCTTTCTGACCGTGTTTTTTTTTAAATTCAGAAACTCCATTATTTAAGGTTATATACTCAGAGTACAGCTGTCACTAAGGAAATGTGTTACTTCTCGCATTCCACACGGAGTTGAACAGTGCTTGCTTCCAAATATGGGAAAAAACACCTGGACACACCTGACATCAGTGGGAATTTTGTCATTGATTCTGAAAGGTCTATGGTTTTAATGAACTTATTCAAGGGAATACAAAGTTCATCTTGCACCATGTCATGCAGTGTTCTGAAACACTTCTTTGATTTTTCTATTCAAGGGTGAACCAGGGTTGCCTGGTCTTAGAGGTCCTGAAGGTGTTCCAGGGATTGGAATACAGGGGGAAAAGGTGAGGATTTCTTACTAAAGGTGTCACTCAAAATTGTAATGACCCAGGAATAGGTTTGTCAAAGACTTCTCTTTTTTTTGTCCAATAGAAGTAGCAAAAAAATATTCTGGACTCATAGCCATTTCATTTTTATTGCAATTATTACAGCCTAGTAATCTGCTTGAACAGCCGTTTTCCCTTTTGAACTTTACACTATTCTTAGCTTTTCTTTGTGATCAATTGATTTGCCCTATTTGCCTTCAAATTAAAAAAAAAAGTACTAGCAAGTGTATTATATTTTCCTGTTTTTATTATTTTTTTACTATATTTTTAATGTAATACTTAACTTGCTTTTCAGCTGCAATTATTCAACCTTTAAAATTCCTTTTGGCTTTTATTTTTCTCACAGTATTCTGTGGTAAACTGGTTTATTTAACTTCGTATGAAATCTATGTCATTTTAATTGTAAAAGTCCAACACTGGACAACTCCTGAGCAGAATTAACTGACTTGCCAATGAAGGCAATAGGAACAACTCATGTGCACCACCTACAAATAGAAGTTTGCTATTTTTCACTGGCATTTACAACTGATTTCAGTTAACACATTTTTAAATTATTTGATGCATTGACATGTGTGACATGTCTTTTCCATTTTTGTAGGGAGATCAAGGACAGAGAGGAATACGTGGATTAACAGGACCAACAGGAGTGCCTGGACCTGTTGGACCTAAAGTGAGTTTATTACTATGTTATATTTATAAAATAGTCTTCCAAAGCTGAACATTGTTCCAGATTTCAGAAACAACTGTTCTAGAGTGAACTCGTTTAATTATAAAATAATTACAAAGAAGTTCACCAAAGGCTTCTCTTACCGAGAATCACCAGGATCCCTACAAACTAGCAGTGTTTTTTAAAAACCTTTGCGTTTACCATATTGCTTCCCTGTTGGTTTGCAAAAAGTAAAGGTATATACTGGTATTTTTATACTGAAATATTTGAGAAAATAGTATGGTGTATGGCATATAAATACATGACAGGACTTTATTTTCCCTTACACTGACTCATGGCTGATATTCTTTTATGGATTTGTGTTTCTGCTAAAATGCTCAGTACTTATTGAAAGTGAGAGAATAGCTACTCCAGGTTTCTCCTCCAGTTTCTTATTTTGCTATTTATACACACAAGAGTATTTCCCCAAAAAAGAGCTAAAAAAGTAAACTTAAAGAGAAATTTTAAGAAAATCTACTGTAACAGAAATATATAAAAGTTTTCAGTATACCTACACAGCTGGGCAGGGAGTCTTGAGCACTGTATGTAGAGGACCACATCTTGAATACACTAAGAAAGGGACTTCTAAAACCATGTTTGTTTAGTGACTGAGAAGAATCTCATTTCAATGGAGAAAACAGAATATGGTTGTTATCAGTTCTCCAAACAGTTAGATTGATCTCTGCATAGAATAGCTTATTAGAAGTTCTAATAGAATTTTAATGGAATTAAATGTAAATTGTTGCATAAATGTTTTCTCTATGTGATAGTCATACTCACTTTCAGAAAAATCCATTGTTTTTTTTCTCCTACCTTCACTGCAGGGGGAGCCTGGTGTACCAGGACGTCTTGGGATGCCAGGCCCTCCTGGAAGATCTGTGCCTGGACCAAAGGTACCATCCACATTCCATCTTCTAGTGCTTAGAAACCAAGGGTGAACACTGAAGTAGGCTATGTTAATATTTGTGTCAACAATTCCAGCCTTATGAAGTCAGCTAAAACTTCTTCTGGATTGCATCCAGTCAAGTTACCACTGTGCCCTAGTATTAAATGTATGGCAGCTTGAAGTGTGGCCTACCTTTGCTCATTTCTTTATTTTGAATAACTCTGGATATCAAAGCACATTTGTTTATTCTTTGTATTTTTTCTATTTATTCTTTCATTTTTATTTATGCTTTTGGTGTTTGCAATAGCAATAAATAAAATTAGCTGTTATGCTTTTTATATATGAATTTGTATAAAAGAAACCCACCGCCTGTGGTGTTTAATAAGATATGTAACAGAGGATTTATTTTCTTCATTGCAGGGTGACATTGGCTTACCTGGTCTTGCTGGACCAATTGGAGAACCAGGTTTTGGTCTTCCAGGGGCAAAGGTAGCTCCTAAATTGTTAAACTGATTTCTGATACAACTGTAAAATAAGGCAGGAGGATTTCAGTGAAGCACAACAAATCTGCCAGGATGGCCACAGCATTTCACTGACATGTTCCACAGTTAATGTGTGTGTCCTACAACTCTGGCAGATGTATAAGGATTTGCAGAGCTGGAAAACCATGGATGGTCAATGCTCCAGAGTCTGTAACTATAACCTTTCAAATGGTAGAGAACCAGGAGAAGAATGTTTCTAAATGAGGAGGAGTGAGTTCAGAGAGAGCACACGATTAACCCTGCTTAGAACAGCCTACATGTAAATTACAAGCAGTTGATTTCTCTCAGACAGGCTCCTTTGCTTCATTCATAAGTTCACAGTTAACTTCATAACATTCATAACACAGGGTTTTAGCGTAAGAAGAACATGAATATGTAGCTAATCTCTAATGGCTTCCATATACCACTGCCTCAGTGGTACCTAGATTCAACTTTCATAAGCCATTCTTCATTCCAGGAAAGATCTTGTCTGAAGACCAAGAAACTCAGGACATATAAATCTGTGTTTCTCTAAATATACTGGATTCTTCCTGCCCCTCACCCACCTTTTTTTCTTAGTGAGTTTGACAGTACTTTTGAATACATCCCTAATCCCTTGTTCTTTCAGGGAACTGAACAGAGTAACAAAAGCATGAGAAACATGTCATAATCACTCTCTCTTTTTGATTAGTCAGTGGTTTTCAAGATTGTTACATTTCTTTTCATCAGGAGGAGATTATGCTGATGGAATCACATAAATTTCTGGTGTAGTCCAGTCAATTCAGAGAACTTCATGTTGTCCCATTTTTGGGGATCTAACAAGAATTAATCAACTGGAAGCACATCTTTTGGTCAGAATTGCATGTCTCTCTCCCTCAGCCTTGAACCCCCCAAAACCTCTTTCAACTGGGCAAAATTGCATGTTTCTGTGACTACATTCTTCACTTTTTGCTGTCTTTGTCAGCACTAGTGGCTCTGCTTTTGCTTAGTTCTTAGACACACAACCATATAGGGTAAAGCCATAGAGGGTAAAGCTTTCTACATCCTATTTAAAAAAAAAATTGCATGTGTCTTTTCTTGACGCTGTTTTAAATGTCCATATTTTGGATAGCTACAGGAACAAATGCAATCTTGATAATCCATTCTATAGCAACTGAGCAACTCACTGCACCCCGCAGTGTGGCTGGGGTGGTTAACATCCTGAGTTTTCTTGGTAAATCTGTTCCTGAGATAGTCCAGCTGTCTGGATCCATGAAAGGAGATTGGTTGTACATTTCCCATAGGAAGATCCTCTTATACTCAAAAGGTTTAATGAAGTTCCACAGCACTATAGGAAAATAGAATTCTAGAACAAATGATGATAAATATACAGGAAATACAACTGAAGTAATTTCTTCTTATATGTAGGCCACAAATGACAACAGACAGAGGTCTTAAATATATTAAAATTAGCGAATCAGATGTGTAGATCATGAGCACTATTAAACGTCTCTGGTTTAATCGAAGATTAAATAAACCTAGAATAATAATTCACATAGTAAAACACATTAGCCAATAGACAGAAAAAGTCAAATGACAGTATATTTGCCAAATAAGTTTCACTTTCATGGATAATTTCCTGCTAGCAATTGTATTGGCATTCACTCAGCTGTTTTTCCTGCCTTCATCAGGGTGACCAAGGCCTTCCAGGACCCCCTGGGCCTTTTGGGCAAAAAGGAGATGGTTATCCTGGCCCACCTGTAAGTTTATGGATTTTTCTTTTATGTGAGTTGGGAAGAAATAAGTGCTACACTTAAGGGATTATCCTCCATGTCTGACATGATAGGAAGTATACATTAGTATATATATGCATAGGCCTAATGCTGGTCTAAAAGCCTAAAAAGCCTAAGACTCCTCAACTGCGGAAATGCAGTTCAACACAGAATAAAATGCAGTATCTCTCTGAAATAGCACAAGATCATCCCTGTTCTTCACTTCTCTTGATTACACCCTGTAGTATATTCCAAGTGGGTTCTTTTTGCCTAAGTATCACTGATGTTTCAATCAGTTCCCTCAAAATCTTCCTGTAGGGTCCTGTCTTCTGCCCAACCATACAAAATTTATTCCCAAACAGGAAAATACAATCTAGCTAAGCAGCTGGATCCATATACATCCTAGAACCACTAAAAAAGCAACTGGTGTGCTAAGAGCCAGAACTAATCTTTACAGAGGCCTTTATTGGTAGATATAACCAATCCCTGAAAAAAGGATGCAAAGAGAAAAGGTTCCTTTTTCTCCCTTCCCTGCACATGTGTGCAGCACTGGCCTCACATATCCAGTCTGCTCATCAGCATGCTCCACCAGCCCTGGCAGTTACCTGCCCGTGCAGCAAGGAAGTCTCAGAAAGATTGCTGGCGACAGTCAGGGAGTTTGGACCACACATATTTGCATTTGCCTATGCTAAAGACAAAAGTAAAAGTACTTGCATTTGCCACGCTGAGGAACCAAAATGAACAAATATTGACATGGAGATTGGAAACTGATTTATAATACTTTCTGATATTTTTGTGCAACCCAGCAAAGAACTGCTTCTGCAACTGCCTCTCCAGATTAGACTCCTCTGCCTTCAAAAACATTCAAGCCCTTGCATGACATGCAACACACATGTAAATGCTACTGACACTACTTCTGGAATATCAGAGTAAAGTTTAACCAGTTGTAGATCACAGTTATCCCATTAAGAGACAATATAGTTAAGATACTACCATATAAATATTAACAAATGCATGTAGTCAATGTAGCTGTAAATTAAATTTATATTTTGTCTGTGCATACAATTTCAGGGCTTGCCAGGCCTCCCTGGAATTCCCGGTGAGCAAGGCCCAGATGGAGTTGGACTGCCAGGGCCTAAGGTAAAGACTTCAAGATCTAGAAAAGCAAATGCTTGTGTATACTCTACTTCATAGATATACAATTCCTACCTATAGGTCAAAATCAGAATACTTATTTAATCCAGCTTTAACTTTCTTCTCAGTATATAAGAGGTAGATCTTTTTTGGTTTATGTTTGTCAGGTTTTTTTTGGGTTTTTTTTGGGGGGGAATCTGGAGTTCATTGTATAATATGGGAATTGTAATTCCTGTGTAGTTGTGCATAATTGACTTGAATACATTTAGACCACCAGCCAGTGTTTATCCCAAATAACTTACTTGTCCTGCCAGCAATATCCTTGGGTTAGCCTTGTTTGGACTTGCACAGTGCAGTTCAATAGTTCTCTTCTCTTTATCTCATTTGGGTATTACCAACAGATGCTTAGAGTTCTAGAGATATGTTAAACTTTGGTATTCACCACTTATTTCTTAAAGTATTGACTTTCAGGGTGATCCTGGTAGTAGAGGACCAGTTGGCCCTGCTGGTCCCCCAGGAAAAGGCTTGCCAGGACCAAAAGTAAGAGATTTAAACAATTGTGTCTCTCTTTGTCTAATTTCTAAAATAAGGGGGAAAGTATACTATAAAAATGTGTGATTATGTATAGACATCTGCATGTTTTCTGTCTTCACTGGAAGCAACTAATCCAAAAAATAATCTTTATTTTGTAGAAGATCAAAACTATTTCTCGTAACTAGCCACAAACCATAGCCTCCTTGTGGACGCATATGATAAATGATAAGGTGATAACCATGCAGTGAAGATCAGTGACAAAACATTTAGCTCCTGGAGACACTAGCAGCAAAAATTTTTTCAGACCTATCATTGGTCAGAATTAAGGGCTGGGCAAGCACTAGTATGTCTTGCTTATACTATTGTTACAGCTATAGGTTAAGTGGGATTAATTCCTCTTTTTTATTGCATAAAGCAGATAATCACCTAATAGCCAGTATGAGGATTGATCCCTCCAAAAATGATTATTTTTGTAATTATTTTGTAACCATTACAAAGCACTGAAAATAACTGTAACTATAAAAAGCAATTTTCACTGTGAAACCTCTCAAATTGGAAACTCTTGTGCTCCTACAGCTATTTCAAAAGTCTACTGAATACAAAAGAACTGGTTTGAATGTAAATAAAAAGGAACTCAACAACGTCAAATGCAAATATTATGCAACATCATAATGAGTTACCTGCACACTGTGACTGTCCTTGAGATACAGTTCCCATTGGCAGGAAGGTGGGGTCCAGCAAAAAGCAGTGGTGAAGCATCTTCTCAGGCAGCACTAATGCCAAGAAAGCATGTACATGGGATCCTTACAAATGAGGAAACTGAAAATTTCATGCAGGAATAGTAGAATAGCAGTATAGACATAAAATTAATATGTACTATTTGGGTTTTGATTGCTTCCTGTGAGTAACATGGAAGGGGAACATTTTTTCTTGAGTTCTGTTGAAAACTAGCTTATAAATTAGCAACAAGTGTTTATTTGCAATGCCACATTAGTAAATATATATATGCACAGACCTTACTGTATAATGGTGGTAAAAGATAAAAAAACAATAATAATCTTCTCTTAAATTTTAATTCAGTCCTCAATATCCCACCAATACAATCCATCCTTCAATGCAGCATATATCTCTATCAGCAAGGTGATTCACGTTCACTAAGTATTAAGCCAAGTGACTCCTTCAAAGGATAAACTGGATTATTAAAATCTGATAGAGGCCAAAAAGAGTCTTTCTCAGCTAGAGCAATCTTATTACCACTACTTATAAAAAGACATGTTTGGTAGAGGAAGGACAAGAAATTACAGAGTAGTATAACAATTTATTGTGTATTTTTGTTCTGAACATTCTCTAGGGAACCATAGGACGCCCAGGGCCACCTGGCTCTCTGGGACCTCCTGGTGAAGGTATTCAAGGAACTAAGGTAAAAAGACTCAGTGTCTTCAATATTTAACCTGCACTGAGTGGTCAATCTGACCATCACAGTGTTAAGAAGATTTCACATTGTTTCTTATATGAAGAGAGCCTCAGGCTAGAAAATGAGAAGGATAATTTGAGCATCTGCAGAACATGTTCTGTCTACTGCTGCAAACTAGTCCAAGCATGTGTGTGTTGAGGAAAGAAGAATGAACTTTTATCAGTTAAAGAAACCTTTACAAAATTAAAAATAATACTCCCTCTGCCTCAACTCTCATGCTCACAAAAACAGTCTGAATTAGTTATGATTAGTTATGTGTACTGCCACTCTATTCTATTCAGTAGAGAAAAAGTCTCCATCCTGAATGTGTGTACTAATATTTTTTCCTTGTAATATGCACTTTTACCCAAAGCATCAGTCCGATGAGACAGACTCAAAAGATAGAAATAAGAAAGGTAGAATGAGAAGGACTAAAATGGTATGGAAAGAGGGAAAAATTAAAATTGCAATCAAATTTAAATTAAATCCAATCATGATCATATGGGTTTTCAATACTATGTATCTTTATACTGAAGTACTTGAGAAATATAAATTAGCCACTAAATTGTCTCAAGTGCCTCAAGATCCTTGTTAAAATGCAGTTTGAAAAGCTTTCTCTTTGAACATTTTAAATGACTGTGTGATTAAAGATTACAAAGGGTTAATATCACTACCTGGATTATCATTAGGGGGAACAAGGTATTCAAGGAATGCCAGGACCACGAGGCCCCCCTGGAGATGGACTTCTGGGAGAGAAGGTATGATATCTAAATCAGAGATAATAGTGAGATAATACCCTAGATGGAAGCCAACACACTCAAAATGCTCTTTTACAGTCAGTTCTTATTGAAGGCATGTGAATTCTGTGTAAAAGGAGTCCCAGACACCAGAAGATTATATTATTATTATTATATTGTTATTATGTTATTGTTATTATATTGTTATTAGAACTGATATTATTATTTTATTATTAAAATAAATATTAGATTTAATACACTTTCTTTCACCTACCTGCTATGCAAAATTTTGTGACTAAATCAACGTTAAGAAAAAGAGAAAGGGGGGCTGGAATCAGTGTTTAGGTGTGATCATAATGGCTCAGAAAGGCTGTACAAAGTCCCATAGTCTACTAAAAATCAAACCAAGATACACTAATACATCTGTTTGCTATGCCAAACACCTCTTCTGGGCCAAAAAGTTTTTCAGAGTAATATTCTCTTTATTCATTCTAATGAATTAATTAGCCCTTGGATTCATTCATTCTAATGAATGAAACCCTTGGATTTCTTTTCTATTTCTCTAATGTTATTTTATTTTTCTAAGGCACAGATAATAATTTCCATCATGCAATAGCACATGAAACCCCTTAGTCTGCATGTAGTTGTTTGAGATGCTTCATTGTTCACTTGAGGTATTTTTTCCCATAAAAATGCTTAGCCAATACTACAAGTTATTAATGAAAATCACAAAGTACCAATTTATTTAAATGATCTCTAACCAAGATTTCTAACACACGTCACAAGATTAATGCGCATTCAACAAAGACCACAAGAGAGAAATATGAAGGGTAACAAAAACTGACTTACACTTTCTGTCTGCTTACCACCATGGTTTTAAAGGGAGATCGTGGAGCCACAGGTGACAAGGGGAAAAAAGGAGAAAAAGGTGATGCGGGCGACCCTGGTTTATCTGGAGAACCTGTGAGTAACTCAGGTTTATCACAGATGTTTTCGTAAACCACTCAGAAACAAAGCTGGATTGTGTGTTCTTTTTTCTATTTAATTACATATAATCTGAAATATTTAAGAAACTGAAACTATTAAAACTTTAATAGAACAAAGATATTTACTTGATTAATACCCCACTTCCCACTTGGATGTGGTTTCTTCCTTATGGCACTTGTCATGGTTTAACCGCAACCAGCAACTAAATACTGCACAGCCACTCGATCGTCTACTGCCCAGCACAGGTGTGATGGGGAGGAAAATCCAAAAAAAAAAGGTGAAATGAAACCTAAACAACCAGAAGATTCATGGATAGATATAAACTGGTCTAATAATTGAACCAAGAATAATTATAGTCATAATAATAAAAAAGCCAGGTGATGCCAAATAAGATTGCTCAGCACCCGCTGCTGGATGCCCAGCCCACGCCCGAGCAGTGCTGGGCCAGTTTCTGTACTGAGTGTGCCCTCCCATGCTCTGGGATATCCCTTTGGCCTGTCCAGCTCAGCTGTCCTGGCCATGCTCCCGCAGCTCCTTGTGCAGCTTCTCACTGACAGAGCATGGGAAACTGAAAAGTCCTTGACTATGGGTAAGCACCACTTCTAATATCCAAAACAACAGCGTATTGTCAACATGATTCCCATAATAAATCCAAAATACAGCACTGAACCAGCTACTAAGAAAATGAACTCTATCCCAGCCAAAACCAGGCCAGCAGTGAAAGACAACTGACAGGCAGTGATCCAGTGGGAGACTTGAGGTCATCCACTTCCCATAAACCACCGCAGGAGGTTGCAGGTACTACATGCACGAGGTAGTGCAAGTGCATCAGAAGCACACGTTTTCTAGTTTAACTTTCTACTGGAAAAATATTTTTCTAATAATGGTATTGCTGAAGTAGTGTTCTCAATTACAATGTTACTATGTAATTGCAATAGCTTAATTAGAAATCACTGTTACAGGGCAAAACTGGACCAAAGGGAGACCAAGGCCTAACAGTAAGCAAATTCCATTATTTAAATCCCATTCTAGCAAGATATAAACAACACTCTCAGATGAAACATAGCCTTTTAAAGAGCTTTCTGATTAGAAGCCACCTCAGTAATAATATAGAAAAAAAGCTTTCTGATTTTTTCTTGCATACTTTATGCTGAAATGGAATTAAAAGTTCCTTGTGACTTTAGATGTTTTTCTGCTATATGTTCTTTTATAGCTCATGTTAGATCACCCAGGTGTGTACTTGCTGCAGGAAGGTTTTTTTGAAAGTATTTAAGAGTATAAAGAGCAAAGATCTTCAAATTGTCACGGTCTATCATGCTATGAACTTATTTATATTTCTGCTAAGCCTGTACCACATTTGAGTCAAATTCAGCAAAGTATGTCAGTGAGTATATAAATACTACTACAGTTTATGATGAAAGCTGAGAAGCAGTAGCAAAAGGTTGTATTTGAAAGACTGACTCAATACCAGATGAGTCCTGTCATGCACTTCAAAAAATATAACAAATGATTGCTCTAATACTGAGAAACACTGTTAACATGTCACATAAGCTATCATTTTTCTGGACAGACAGCACTGAAGGCAGCAGTTTTGGGGTTTTGTGCTGATGAAGTCTGGGTAATAGAGTGGGCCAGGTACCTCAGGGCTGATAATTCCCAATTACATTCTGTTTTGGTGCTCAATTGTTTTAGATAGAGATGTTAATGTGTTGTCAAGTTATTTACTCTTGTATGCATCTTTGTATGAAATAGTTTGTTGCAAAATCTCCCTTTCCCAAGGAGAAGTTTCAAAGTTAAACAGTAAGATTTTTATAAGTCACTGCAGGACACAAATATTAAACAAAATCTTTGTTAGTGTCAATATTATACCTCATTTGAAAGTGGCAGATTGTAAAATACTTTCATATTTTATTTTTTTCACATCCAGAGAGAAGACATAATCAAATTAATTAAAGAGATATGCGGTAAGGACTCAGAAAATCTTTATGTTCAAACTCTATAATTCCTTCATTACATTTGCATTCTTCTCTTTTCCAAAAGCATGCCAAATCAAGTCATTGTGTTCTGGTTTTCTTTTATTTTTCCTTTGTAGGTTGCAGTATTAAATGTAAGGAAATTCCTATGGAGCTTGTATTTGTGATTGACAGCTCTGAGAGTGTGGGACCAGAAAATTTTGAGATTATCAAAGACTTTGTAACTGCTTTAGTAGACAGAGTAACTGTAGGCAGAAATGCTACCAGAATTGGCCTTGTGTTATACAGTTTAGAAGTTCGACTAGAATTTGGTCTCAACAAGTATCCAACCCACCAGGATGTTAAGAGAGCAATTAGGAAAATGCAATACATGGGAGAAGGCACTTACACAGGAACTGCTATCCACAAAGCAGCCCAGGAAGGATTTTCTGGTGCTCGAGCAGGCGTGCGGAAAGTAGCTATTGTGCTAACAGATGGTCAAACAGACAAGAGAGAAGCTGTAAAACTAGATCTTGTTGTTCAAGAGGCTCATGCAGCAAACATCGAAATGTATGCAATAGGAGTCCTAAATACTTCAGATCCAACACAGGTTGAGTTTGTGCGTGAGCTAAATTTGATTGCTTCAGACCCAGATGGAGAACACATGTATCTCATTGATGACTTTAACACTCTCTCAGGTGCGTTCATTGAAGTTTTATTCTGCCTCATATCTGATGCTTCTCACAAGGGGGCAGGGTGGGGAGAAGCATTATCTTTGTGGATATGTTTTGATGCTGCAAAGTAATAGGAATCAAGAGATACAGATCCCCTTTGTTCATGGTGTTACATTAAGGGGCAACATGCCAAAGGGGAAATGTCACCCAGTCTAGGAAAACATCTACTTAAACAAGTTTTCTAAGATGAGTAAGTGCTCATGCACTGAAAATCTGACTGTAAATCAGAATGAAACCCATTGTCATAAATGCCACTTGTTCACTTTCCTGGGGAAATAACCTGCTTTCACATGGTTATTCATAGCAGCAAAATAAGCAGCTATTTTCCCATTAGTAGTAGTTGCAGTAGCAGTAGTAGCAGTTATTTTCCCAACTAGTCGCTGTTACTAAGCTTAGATGAACAGCCTTACGTAGTTCACTGTATTTTCTACCATGTAGATGACATACATGCTGGCAAATTTGTGACCAAAAATTCCATACTCCAAAGAGTCTAGAATAATCTTCTTAGATGCATGTAAACAATCCGAAGGAGTTCTGGATTACATGTGTATTACTGACATATATAAGTAATCCAAATTTTAAGAATACATTGAATTTCTCAGTATGATAAGTTTTTTACTTTTTTTTTTTTTTTTAACAGCTCTGGAGTCCAAATTAGTCAATCAATTTTGTGAAGATGAACATGGCACCTTAGTACACAACCATAATGAAAATGGTGCAAGTATAAGTGGGCAATCCTTCCATTCAGTATCTCCAAGTTCTCTACATTACATACTTCAGAAGAATAATATTAATAGACAATCACTTTCAGCACAGACACTTAGAGTATCTACAGTAGAAAGTCCTCTGAATCTTGGCCATCTTCCTCAACCATTAGCTCCGGTATGAAAATTCAGCAGGCTTTAACGAGCAGAAGTTTAATAAATATACATCCTTCTGTGCCACTTAATGTAATTTGTACCATTTCCCTTAATTTTCTGCAGGACAGGTACTTTAACTTGGTATGCTCAGAGCTGGTTGTTCCGAGTAAGAGCTCTGATGTCGCATGAAGGCAATTAACTAATAGCTATAACTTATTCCTGATACTGTGACAAGGATTCTTTTATTTAATACAATAATATTTGTGCCACAGTGTGAATCATAACAATATTAAAAAGCAATTACACTGTTATAATTAAGTCTAAGAACAGTAACTGAACTCAATTGTAGATTATAATTTTAAGTCTATGAATAGATTTCTGTAAAGCTCAACTAAAAAAAAATATTTATCCAACATTTAGATATGACAACTTTCCTGGTAAACCAACCAGAATGTAAAATTCTGATTCTTAACACTGAAATCAGTATAAATGGAAAGGAAAAACACTAGAAAATCTCTAAGTCATGCAGGGCTTGTTCATTTTGAAACACTTCACAGTATCTTGAAAGAAAAAAAAAAATCAAATGCTTATTTCAGACCAACGTACCTTCTGTAGTCTATGACACCTACAAAGAAGAACAAGATGAAGAACAACAGCCAACCCTGCTAACAGAAAACACTAGAGGTATTTCTATTGTCATTCATTTCTTAATTTTCATTTTTGGCTGATGAAAAATCAATGTCTCATTCTGTTTCCTTTCACCTGCAGCTGTGTTACCATTATTGTCATCTAAACCAACATCCACTAAAGTGATGACACCATCACTTTCAACTGCAGGCCCGACACCAAGACCTGGTGGGTAATAGATAATTTTTCATTTTGTTACCTCTTTGCCTGGTACTAACTTTTAATAGAGCTTTAAATCCAAGTAATTTTGTTTCATTCTCCAAAGATTTTGTGAGTCTGTGATGTAGAAGAGAAGTAGCTTCAGGATTTTATAACAGATCTAGTTGCAGTTCTTGTCTTCCCAAGTTCTGGATCCCACCGCTCGACTTAAAAGCAAAAGCAAGGCTGTCTATAAGTGAGAGGGAGCTCCTAAAGGGCATCAACAGGAGAACATAATGCTCACTGAGGGTGGGCCAGTCAGCAGGTCATCCGGCAGCCAAGGAGGGGCAGTCTGCAGAGGTGGGAGACTTCATTAAAGACAAAGAGAGTGGTTTCGGAATTGGACAGAAAGGATGTACTTCTCTTTCAGAGGAACAATAGGAAAAAACAGTGCTTAGTCATTTTAAGTACAGTAATTAGCTGAGTGCTTAAAGGATTGATTCTTTTTATATGAAATGTCCAAATGTATTTTGTTAATCATTTGGGGGATTTTCAATTCCAGTAATAGTGTATTATGATGGCAGCAACAGAAAAGAGCGATAGAAACATATTCCCATTGTTTTCTGGGAACAGTGGCATGATTTATTTGGTCTCTGGCACTAATGCTTTTTTTTTAAAAGTGACAAGATAGCAGTTGCAAGAGACAAAATATCAGTCACAACATTAAACTTCACAGAAAACTGCTTTCTATCTCATGGTATTATTAAAGTCAGTGAGACTAGATTAGTATGTCACAGTCCTCTAATCTATATCTGTAGGAGTTCTAAATTCAAACTTATGTACATAATTACTACAATTTTATTAGATAAGTAGCACAAATATCTTACACAAGCAAGACATAAGTTTTATATTCTTCTCAGTATTTTAATGTCTCTTCTCCCACAGCACAAGGAAAACTAATACACAGCAGGAGGATGCAGCAGATGCAAAAACAGCAGAGGCAACTAGCTTACAGCTCTATGCCTTATATTTGCAGTTTACTCACAAGACTGGTTGCACGTAATCAAATTTCAGAATAATATATTTTAAAATTATCATATTCATATTGTCTGCTCTTTTTGTATGTGAAGCCATAATACTTTTATTTCTGGAATTACTAGAAACATGCCAGTAAAAGAACAGTTTATTTGACTACTAAGATGCACTTGTAACTTGCCTTCAATATTAACATCTTTAGAACTAAAAGTGAATCTTAAACTACTGCATAAGATTAGCAGAAAAAAATAAAACAAAATAAGAGTTTTAAAAGTAAAATCTGTGGAATACAAATTACTCTTACAAACTGAATAGTTTCTATTTCTCTTTTTATTTTTTTTTTTTTTTCATTTTAGAAAATATTGTGGACCTTCGCTGCAAGCTAAGGCTGGATCAAGGGCCCTGTCGTGTTTACACAATCAGATGGTATTACGATAAACAAGCCAATGCCTGTGCTCAGTTTTGGTATGGTGGCTGCCATGGAAATGCAAACCGCTTTGAGTCTGAACAGGAATGTAGACAGGCTTGTGTATTTTTTTCTGGAGGTAGGAATTAGTCTCTACTTTAAAAGGATAAGGTTGAACCTCTTGATTGTTTGGCTTTTTTATCAATTATCCATTTGGTAAAATCCAACCAAATAATTTATAGAATGCTAACATTATGAAGTCATATGCCCACTAACTAAAAAAATGGCAACCTATGCAAGCATACTTAAATACTTTTAGCATTTATTATATGACATAGAGATTATAACAAAATAGCAAATTTTCAACAGTATCAAGAGTACAAAATTTCCTTTTTTACTCAGTTATAGTAAGACCAGTGTAGCATTTACCATAGCAGTTGCACTTCTTTCACCTAGATCTTTAAATACTACCATTGTACAATCAGTAACTAGTCCTTATTTTAAACTACATCTATTGCTTTGTATGGTCATTATGTAAGTGTTTTTCCCTTTGTTACGGAAATCTGGCATTTGACATGGATTCTGCAATGAAAATTTCACTTCTTTTCAGCAAAACTATTCTCACAAATAGTATTTTACTATTTAAAGAACAAGAGACATCAACTTCCAAATTACATGCAGAGTACTACTTAATACAGATAAATACAACAAATGCATCACCTTGTGGCCTATGTGCTCTCTGGGTCACAAGACAGGGAGGTGGTTCAGTTGCCTACCTTTCCTAACTACATCACAGGTACATTTCATCCTTTTCTTTCCTTTCAGTGAACTCTCCTCAGTTTTTATTAGCTAGCCAAGATCCATGACAATTACAGTTAAAACACATCCACAGATTTCTATGAGTGAATATACCAATAACTGTGTTGGGTTAATTTGTGTCTAAAATGGTCCTTCCAATGTGAGGCTTCTGAAAGCCAAGTCTAATTTTTAAATGCATTTTAATATTTTCATCTTCCTTAGTTAACTATTTAAACTTATGTTTAAAACATTAAGCGCAGCACCGTTGATTGCCTGCCATTGTGATATCACCTTTTACATTTATGTCTGCCTGTATATGTCGCATTTCCTGTTATTTAATATATTTTAAAGCTTATTTCTAATAAAACATTTTTGGTTTTACTGCCAGAACAGAAAATGGATAATGGTACATTTACAGGATTAAAAACTTACCTCACAGCTAAATGACACAACCGGATTTCTGCCACAGCCCTTAGAAGGCCAGGTTACGCACTCCTGTACATGAAACTCGTTGATCATTTTTAGTTGGATTTGTGTGGTTTGTGGGGTTTCTTTTTTTCCCTGAGCAAGTGGTAACTTCAAGCGTGTAACAAAAGGCGGAGTTTGGCTCAACGAGAACACCGTCCACCCTCTGTGCTTGCAGAGCGCTCCGTCCGTCCTGGCGGGGCCAGCGGCAGCACCGGGCGCTTCCCGCCCAGCGCTTCATTTCATCCAGCCTGTCTCCATTCCCGGATGGGGGCAACCGGGTCCTCGCCAACCCAGGGACCAGCTTGAGGGAAAGAACTATCAAAGGACAAGTTGGTTTTTTTCTTATGATTCTTATTCGGAGTATTATTTTTTTTTTTTTACTTGAAAGTGGTAGGGCACTGCAATTAAAATTTGGATACAGTTTTCAAGTAATTCCGAATTAAAAATGACACTCCTCATCTCTTTTAAAATAAGCCCAAAACCGCCAAACAAACGCCCAGCCCCGCAAATCCCCGGGGCGCAGGGCTCCGTTACCGAGAGCGCGAAGCTCCCTCACGTTCTGCGCCTCAGCCCCTCAGCCGGCAGGGGGCGGAGCCAGCGCGGGCGCGAGTGCGCACGCGCTCCCCGCGTGCGGCGGCGCAGCCAATCCCGGCCGCCGCGGGAGCGCGAGCCACCGCCCATCCTCCCCACCAACCCCGTTGCCAGCGCGGCGCGCGGACTCGTCGGGGTGGGTGGCGGCCATGAGCGGGGTGCTGGACGTGCTGTGGGAGGACAGGGATGTCCGCTTCGACATCTCCCCGCAGTGAGTGTCCGTGTCCCTGCCCTCACTCAGGCCCGCCCGGCGCCGAACGGCGCCTGGCTGAGCGCTGCCTCCGCGGGCTGAGGCCGACCGCTGGTATCGGCGGGAGCGCGGCGGGAGCGGCCCCGCGTGTGCCGAGAGCGCCCCGCTGTGGCGGCGGCGGAAGAGCGACTCACCTGGCGGGGCGGGGCGGGGCGGGGCGGTCAGTGCTTGCTGGGTGGGGTCCGCGCGCCGTTTCCAATCTGTAGAAGAAAATAAAACAGAATATTGGACCCTGGAGGATTGAGGGAAGGGTGTGTACTTTTCCCAGCTGAGCTTTTGTAGCTCTGGGAAGTACAACCGAGCTGAACAAGGCGTGTGTCTGCGGGGACGGTGGCACTCATGGTTACCAGGACTTGGCATACTCCTCACGGAACGGGGCGGCGGCTGTGCAGTATTTCGCGAAATTCGCGTCTTAATAATACGTTTTGTTTCTGTCATGCCATACGTGAAGAGTTTTGGCTGCTTCTGACAGTACGACTAAAATACAGCAAAAGTTCACACAACATTGGTTGTTACGTAATTAAGTTATTAGATCAGTTAAATAAAGCAAAATAATAATATAAACAAACAAATAGAAAACTTCACCAAAAAAAAAGCCAAAAAACCAAACCACACCCTTTGGAAAGATTTAGCAGAGCATTTCACATATCCTTATATGCTATTTCTTTTTGGTGGCATCTCTTTTTTCCTGAGCCTAGCTCCACTCCTTGTGACT